TGTATTAAGAGTAAGAGGATTACCAGGAAAAAGGTGGTACTTATTCGAGACCAAGGGCAGTCTGCGCATAGAGCTAATGGATGTGGGTGAGATCTTAAATGAATAGTTCTCATTTGCATTCACAGCGGAGAAAGAAATTCTAGCCAGGGATTTGAGTTGGGATGGTGAATGCATTAAGATTAATAGGAAGGAGGTATTAGATATTTTAGCAGACATAAAGGTGCACAAATCCCCAGAGCCTGGTGAGATGTATCCCAGGCTGCTATGGGAAACAAGAGAGGAGATTAGAGGGGCCCTAGAGGTGGTATTTAATACTTTACTGGTCATAGGTGAAGTGCCAGGTGACTGGAGGATAGTTAATGTGGTTCCTTTGTTCAAGAAGGGCAGCAGGGATAGGCCAGGTAATTACAGACCAGTTAGCCTGATATTATTGGAAAAAATTCTGAAGGACAGGATTAATCAACACTTGGAAAGGCAGTGATCGATCAGGGATAGTCAGCACGGATTTGTTGGAGGGAAATGCTGTCTGACCAATTTAATTGAGTTTTTTGAAAAGGTGACTGAATATTGATGAGGATAGTACAGTTGACATGGTTTACATGGACTTTAGTAAGGCCTTTGACAAGGTCCCACGTTGATTGATTGATTAGTTGATTGATTTATTGTCACGTGACTGAAGTACAGTGAAAAGCTTTGCTTACGAGCAGTACGGGCAGATCATAGTAAGCAAGGATGTATAGATCAAAAAGACTTAGACAGAGGCATACATGTTACATTGCACAGGACGTGTACTAGGTGAGATCGATGTTAGCAAGATCAGCATTTGAGGCTAAAGAGTCCATTTGTCAGTCTAATAACAGCCGGGAAGAGCTTTTCCTGAACCTGCTTGTGCTTGTGTTCAGGCTTCTGTATCCTCTGCCTGACAGAAGAGGTTATAGGAGATCACTACCAGGCTGCGATGGGCCTTTGATGATGTTGGTAGCCTTTCCGCAGCAGCAAGCCGCATAAATAGAGTCCATGGATGAAAGGTTGGCTTCCGTGATGGTCTGGCCTATACCACCTTCTGTAGTTTCTACTACAGAAAAACAAATTGATGAAATCAATACAACTAAATTCTGATGGTCTGTACCCCAGGATTGTACATGACATGCCTCTGGAGACTGGGGTTGTAGTGATTGTGATAAGGTCAGCCAGCTGGCCCTCATAGAATATGATTGGATCTGTTAAACCAGTCCAATCAGGGAGCCCTGGCTGACATAAAAGGATAAATGTCTGGGATTTTGAACCACTGAATGCCTGATTCAATGAGAGGCAGTGTTATTGTTCAAGGCTATGCATTTGTAAATAAAGGGTGATTGATGATGGGATGCCAGCCTCTGAAGAGTCATTTCAGGGGATACATCAATTTTGAACTTCTGACATTTTCTCAACGTTCTGGAAGTGGCCCCCATGGACTGAAGTTAGAAAATGTAAGCCAGCTATTCAAGAAAGGTTAGAGAAATGAGAAATGAAAATTAATGACCAAAAAGCCTGAGATAAATAATAGGGGAAATGCTAGGATCTATTGTTAAGGGAGCCATAATAGGGCACTTGAAGAATTCATCATACCAGCAGGGTTTATGACAGGAAAACAGTGTTTGACAAATCTGTTACTATTTTTGATTTACTTAACTGGCAGATTAGATGAAGGGTAACCAATGTACGTAGTACATTTGGATTTTCAGAATGTATTCAAGGTACAAAATAAAATATGTTGTTACACAAAATAAGGGATTGTGGAATTGCAAATAATCTATTATTATGAATTGAGGATTGAACACAAAACAAATTAGGAATAAACAGGTCATTTCTGTAAAAGCAGCATGTTAGTAATGGAGTAATACAAGGTTCAGTGCTCAGGCCTTAACTGTTTACAATCTAGGGAAATGGATGTAATGTATTCAAATTTGCTGGTGATACAAAGATAAACAGGATTGATCGAGGCCATCATAAAGCAGCTATAAAGGACAATAGAGTGGTTTACTAATTGAACTCGAATAGATGGAGTATATCATGGGGAAATGAGGAAGTATTCATTTCCATAGGACTACCAGAGTCACCTCCTAGCCCTCCCATTTCCCAATGCTGGCTTCCTCTATTATACACTGGACCTTTGGACACGAGACACTGCCTGGAGCCTGCAAGCAAATGTTCGCTTTTCAGGCTCTGTGGTGGTGACTTCCTTCCAGCTGCTGGTTGGGTACCATGACAGAATTGACAAGATTGCTGTTACATTCCATGTGTGTTGCAACAAAGAGTAAATCTGGCAGTGTACCGTTATTAATAAGCAAAAGGATGAGTTGATCATTGTAACTTTATCTCAGGTTTTGGGTAATGGTTACAAATCATTTGAGTGCGCCCATTACAATTCATCATATCATCAAGACACATTGATAACTGTTCTGTCACGACTGTCATATAATTTCTTTTTTAAAATCACTAACAAGAGAATTGCTTTTCTTTTCCATTTAACCAGGGATCTGCAGATACCATTCTCAAATCAGCCCTCCTTAAAATAGCTGAAATCATCAGACTGAAAGATGTGGATGCAATTGTGGTTGAAGTAGCTGCACTCTTTCGAGATTTCCCAGATATTGGGTAAGAACAGTTTGAAAATACCGCTACAAAACTCAAAAATACAATATGTCTGAACCTCTAACTAATTAACTTATCGTTTTTCCAAAAAAAAACAAACTTTCAAAGTATTTAATCGTAACAAGAAGATTTTGAAGATTTTTAAGTATTCTTTTCAGTGTTTAGATTTTGTAGTCGACCTGATCATTTTTAATCGACATTTGTATTTTTTGAAACATACAAGTGTAAGGATAAAATGTTTCTGTGTTTATTAAAAAGTGATGTTATGATAATATTTTCAGCCAAATCCTAAGATTATGCATTCAATATACAGTAAGTGGAGTTAAACATAATATCAAAAAAGCCTAATTCACAAAACTAGAAAACTACTTTACGTGACATTGCCACATTACAATCAATATCAATCAAATGGCATTTTAATGCAATTTCTTGTTATATCCTACTTTTCTTAGAAAATTCTAACAATCAAATCCAGCAAAGAATCTTTGCAGGAACTGAGCACACAATCAGTTTCGGATATTATGGCTGCTTTGAGACATTCTAAACTGATTTTTAATAGAACATAGAACATTACAGCGCAGTACAGGCCCTCCGGCCCTCGATGTTGCGCCGACCTGTGAAACCAATCTGAAACCCATCTACCCTAAACTATTCCATTATCATCCATATGTTTATCCAATGACCATTTAAATGCCCTTAAAGTTGGCGAATCTACTACTTCTGCAGGCAGGGCATTCCACGCCCAATTTGGCAAAACAAACCGATCAAATTGTTCATAAATGTTTACAGCATTTTTCTGGAGTTAACTAAATGACAGAAGATGCAGTCATGCCAACTTTCAGATGCTATACAACAGCTGTAGCACATTAGCAATGTTTGGAAATCTCTGTGAACTGACTAATGCACAATAGGGCATGATTCTTTTTGGTATGCAAATGGCCTGTATGCAAATAGTCTATTGTAACTTCATAAAGTTCCTTTCGCATTCAAAGGTTTGCATGGTGTTGATTTTCACATGCTGTCTAACACTCATTAGCATTGGTCTCCTGATGTCATAGTAATGATTGGAGTTAGTGCTGTGCAGTAAGGCTACAGATAAAGTCTGTATTAAGTTCTGCATGAATGAGCTTAGATTTTCCATGTTTGCAAAACTATGGTGAATCACTTGCCACAATTGCAGACTTCTGACTCAAGCCTCTCAGTCTGGGCATATCATTTGTTTCAAAGGGGTCCTGCAGCCACTTCGCAGCGGTGACATAAAATATCTGCTTCATATTTCGAGTACTTGAGACCTTAGAATTTGATACGCATTTAGTTGGCAATCCTATGGCGGGATACAAACTAAAATGATTTTTAAGAAGTTTCTGCAATTAGTACAATCAAAGACATGTATCAGTTGCTTTAAAACAATGGCATTATCAGAGTGAAAGTGATTAAACTCGTGTGGTATCAATCAACATAGACAGCAATGTTTCTACAGAGTAGCTGATGTTGTTTCACCAGCAGCTCGCATAGAAATTTCTCAAATGCAGTGCCACACATGATTGTCAGAAAAATTCAAAGAAGACAAGTTCCAAAATTGAGATTTCTGATTCACGTTTATGCACAAGGATGCAACCAATTAAGATTTTATTATCATTGTATGATTCACTTCTAGAATTTTTGGTAGTTAGGTTAGCAATTCACACATATATGCAGATAACTACTGACCATAGATTGTCATGTGCTGGAGAGAATAATTATTCTTCAGTTTTCTGTAGACTGTAAATGTAGTTTTTGCTGCAATGAAACTCTTTTGAGCTATTCATCCTAATCAAATGGTTCATTCTCTGCAGAAAAGAACATGTTAGAGCCATCTTGCACATGAAAGTCAGCGTGAAAAAATCAGATGAAAAGAAGATTCTGAACATTCTCAACACACCAATGAGTAACTCCGACTCTTCCATGATGAGGAAACTCTTTTCCAATCCTACCTTACTTAAGGCTCTCTAGAAATCATCTGGTAACCATCAAAAGAATGATTTATTTTCGTAAACAAACACATCAATGTTGGATATAGCGCAGTTGTCATGTCACACTTATATAATAGAACTTTTCCTGTTCTGACACACCCACCAGCCTGTGGTTGATTGCCTAATTAGAAACGTAAGTACTTGCATTTTATGGAGCACCTATCATGTCCTTAGCAGATCTGAAATAACTTTACTACTTTAGGGATTTCTCATTACATTGTCATTGAACATTCCGGGTCTTATATGTGTTAAAATGCAAATGTCAGAATGAATTTATCTCTAACTTACAGTTGCACATTAGAATTAGGGATAGCGTGCTGTAGACAAGGTGAGATATATTGACATTCTACTGTTAGTTTGGATTCTGCTGCTGCTTTGACACCATTATTCATTAAAACAAAGTGGCAGCAATGGTGCGTATCATTACCAAATCATGTTGACTGATTCTGCTCTTGAGTAGTTGGAGGAGCAGTGGACGAGAAATAGTCTGTCTGACTAATAATAGACAGGAGAGACAGGCTGACATGAAACAGAACAAGTGCTATAATATGAGGTCCTGATTGGGTCTGAAAGCCACACTGGTTCAAATTCAAGACAACGTTTGTACAGAAGGAAAAATCATTCTGAAATGTCAGGAATATAGTCCACTCAAAGCTTCTTTGTAAATTTTTTATTTACATTTTCATAAGACGTGCTTATTCCTGACAAGGCCAATGTTTGTTGCCCATTCCTAATTGCCTTTGAACTGAATCACTTGCCATGCCATTTCAGAGGGAAGTTAATAGTCAACAATCTTGCCAGGGGTCTGAACTGACTGCTGGTCAGACTTAGTAAGGATGGTAGATTTCCACCCCTGACGGCTGATAAACAAGATGGGTTTCTCCAACCATCTGGTAGATTCATGATTACAATAAGTAAGACTAGTGTTTTTATGTCAGGTTTTTTAATTAATTAAATGAGGTTAAACACTCGCAACTTCCATGATAAGTTTTGAAGTTTGTATTTTCTTTTCTTATAGTGTGTAAGGCTGAGTGGGATGAGAGAATTATGCTTATAGCCATGGTCACTTGCTCTGTAACAAAGAAGCATCATGATTCCCATCTGATAATTGATTTTGCAATGGCTGTGGTTATTGTGATCTCATGGACCTGAGCATAAAAACAATTATCAGATTATTCTTTGAAATTGAGTCTTTGTTGTTAGATCATAGAATCCCTATAGTATAGAAGCAAGCCATTCAGCCCATCAAGTCCATACTGATCCTCTGAAAAGCACCCACCCAGACCAGCCCTCCTACCATATCCCTGTAATTCTGCATTTCCCATGGCTAATCCAGCTAGCCTACACATCCCTGGACACTACGGACAATTTAGTGTGGCAATTCACCTCAGCTGCATATCTTTGGGCTGTGGGATGAAACCCACAGATACAGGGTGAATGTGCAAACTCCACACAGACACTCGTCCGAAGCTGGCATCAAACTCAGGTCCCCAGTGCTGTGAGGCAGCAGCGCTAACCACTGAGCCACTGTGCCACCCATAAGTAAACATAGCAGTCTATTTGAAATTTAAAAGTGCCAGTTGAGAATAATGTTGGACAGTGTGTCCTTGCCCACTGGGATGAGATTTTAAACTGCATGCAACTTTTACAGTGAAAGTTTTGAGCCTAGTAGATGAATGTGATTGTTTCCACCATTATACCATATACTCCATAGTTATACAAAAAATGTCAGGTTATTTTTGACTCTATAATGATACTGATGCACCTTGTGGCTTATTTCAACTCTCACAATTTCAGCATTGACAGAGAATTCTGTTACAAAAATCTGGACTTCTTTTAAAGGTTTTTTTTGATGTAACATGAGGTGGAATATTTACAAAGAAGTAAATATTTATCAGTCAATTACTGGTAGACTTTATGTAGTCTTGTTCAACTGGATCATAGATTAAACATTTTGACATGATCGGCATGTAAATAAGACTGGAACCACAAGACAAAGTATTTTAAATACAAACAATTTTCACAATTTGGATTATGAAGTTTATAATTTTCTAGGTCAATTGTCACAGATCACCAGGTGACACATCTTAGTAGGTGAGGTACAATTATTGAGTGTCTTGTGACATGATAATAAGACAGCAATAGCTGTATTTTTTTTAAAATACTGATTATGTTTGGAGCTAATGAGCTTCTTTGAAAACAATAACTTAGAAATAACTATTGATAGTACCAGAGAGTGAACTGTCAACAATTCTGCTATACTGTATTGTAGCAAAATTTAAATGGTTTAATAACCACAGTAAACAGTAGGAAGGGAAAAGCCAGGTGACCGTCATAAATATTTGCTGATACTGTGAACAGTTATTTTGGGCTACTGTATTTAAATTGTTGGTATTTTGCCACCTGTGACAGCATTAAATAATACCTGTGTTATAATTAATGTTACTTTTCTTCAACTGTCCTTCAGGTAAAGTATATAAATACAGCTACATAAATGTTTCTGCACAGAGTTTTAAAGAAGTAAAAAATGTTTGTGTAGTTTCCAAATATACCCAGAAGTGAAGTATGCATGTACTGTACTTAAAATTTCCAATATAAACAACAATTGCTATGTCAGATGCAAAATCTAATTTTGCAAGCTTGTGTTCTAACATTACTTATACAGTATTAAAAATCTTTGTTTTTGTTTTTTTTCTAATGCATATGTAAAATAATGTGTCATTTAAACAATTTTCTGCAATATATTCTTTGTTGGAAGCATATTGGAAGGTTTGATCACATAGTCACTGGCTGTATTCTGGTGCTTCAACAATAAATAAAATGTGATAGTTATTCAACTTATTATTTGGGTTTTTCAGTGTGATCATCCAATCTCTTAAAGGACATGTTATTTAACAATTTCTAGTTTGCAAATTGAAGTTCATATACAGTGTTGGCTCCAAGCTCCCTTTGATGCCCCTCAGAAACTCATATAACTGAACACATATTGAGCATCATTAAGGGCTGCATGGAGGAGGAAGAGCAAAGGGTGATAGGTGGATGGTATGAGTTGACATTGAGCTGGCATAGGAATCAAAGTAGTGAGAATAATTGGGGGCATATAGGGCATGAGGATTCATAAGAGGTGGATGCAAGAACATAGGTTGGTATAGATGATATGAGTTTGCAAGGGTATAGTTTGACACTGATAGCACAAGATGAGTGAGGAGAGTAAAAGGTGACAGCAGGAGGGGTGTTCTCTGTTTTAATTTTTATGTTTAAAATTTGAACACTGTGCTGGATTCCTGAGGCAGGATTTCCAACCAGCCCATCTTGGGAACTGAGGCCTGGCCCAACTTGCAATCCAGGTGGCTGAAATTCTGATGTTTGGTCATTTTTGAAGGTCAGGTTTGCAGAGCTGGGATTTCTCTGGGCTCTGCTCCTCTAATAGGGTAACAAAAATTTGGGCCACATCTGTGCATCGTAATTGTCTAAACTCCATAAAATACAGGCCTACAGGCCCAATTTATTCATTCTTTTATCATAGGATAATCCTTTCATCATAGGAACCAATTTAACGAACATTAGCTGTCCAGCCTCTAATACATTATACAAGTCCTTAAATATGGAGATTAAACCTCTCTGACTCCAATTCCATGGCAGTGCAAGCTGGCTGTAAATGGTGACGGGAATTTACAATTTTGGCCCCTGTCAGCACTGGTTGCATTCATTAATGTGCAATAAGAAGCCAGTTCATTGTTTGTATTTCAATCAACAGTTATGGGGTAAATGAGCAAAAGAAATTCTCAAATCTTCAATCTGAAAACTTATTATATGACACTGGATACTTTGTTCATTCATAAACTCTTTCCAGCATGATTTCTGTACCATTTTATGGCAAGTAGGAACAGCAAAACCAATAGTGCTCTCTTGATGAATTACTGTGATAGGCCTCTGCTTTGGACCATAAATAAGGGATTTCACAGGCAGCAATCCACTGTAGCCCAGTTACCACCTTCAACAACTGTTATTGGCTCAGCACAAAGACGGAAAGAGTTAAATCTGTATCAACTAACCACTAACTCTATTAGAAACAAAAATAGAGATTACTATGAAAGGTCAGCAGGTCTGGCAGCATCTGTAGAGAGAAATCAGAGTTAACGTTTCGTGTCCACTGACCCTTCCTCAGCACAGACTCTTCCTTAGAACCTCACTAACTTTATTAGATTAGTTAAAATGGACATACAATTCACACCGTTTAGTTAAGAAAAAGTTAACAGCAGGCTGCAATTCATACAAGGCTAGAAACTAAACATAACCCCATTGGTTTCCATGACATTCCCTCCTGAATAGTTAACAAAAATAAAGGTTAATATGCAAGAATAGAAGTTCATGCTGGCCAGGCAATTTCTCCAAAGGTTCAGGGTTATCTCCACGCTTCCAAGCATGGGGTCCACAACTTCACAAAATCTCCAGAGTTTTTGCTGCTGGCACACCAAAATCCGTCATTCTTAGCTTTTCTCTTTATCTTCCAGATATCTTGTCCTTGTTCATTCTTAGCTCATCTGACGAGCCGGTGTCTTTCCATTACAGGCTCACTCGAAGGACACCATTAGGATTACCTCATTAGTCTTCCGCCAAATAAGGACTTGCACCCAATGTCATCCCTCAGGACTGATCTGGTTCAAACCAGACCAAGCCAGTGGCTGGGTTTCACGTAACTTCAGTTCAAAAGATTGCTGTTTTATGTGTAAACATCCCCTGGCCAACACCATGATCCCATGGCCAAAGTTTTGTAAACCTGATCCCAAATTAAATCAAACTTAGTGTTGTTCATTAACTATTGTATATTTTTCTGTCTTTATTTAAAATACTTTGAATTCTTGTGCCACACACAGAGCTGTGGGAGAATGAATTACCAAAACCTCAGATCTGCACATGCAATTTTTCCATATTGGGACTTATATCATTTTGCAGAAATTCTTTTTTAATTTTTCTGTTATGAGCCCAGCTGATGGTAATATTGGACAAGTCAGATCCCAGAGTGAAACCTGGCTTAGGAGATCATATGTTTAATTTTTGCAATTGGCTACTGTGGCAGTTAGCCACTGAAAACATTCACACGAGTCTACGAATTCTCCCTAACAAAGGAACACAAGTTTATTACAGAAAAGCAGAAAACAAACAAAACCCTCACTATATATGTACATAAAACAGCTTAGAAAGATCTAAACATAAACATAGAACAAAATATCAACCTTTTTCCCAGCAATATCTTTTGTAGACTTTCATCCCTGGTGAAGCGTCACTCCTTTCTTAACCCTTACATTTTGAGAGCTTAGAGATATCTTTCCAGTTCAGAAGCCTGGATTCCTTTTCAGTTCTGACAACTTACAAACTTCCACACAAACTCTCACAGCTTGCATACTTCTCAAAACTAACCTGTCATTCACCTGAAAGGAAACTCAGATTCCTCTGAACTGGTACTCGATAGTGAACTCAACAAATTTGTCTCTTAACTCGCTACGTCTTGTAAGTTCAACTTCTTAAGCATTTCTTCAATTAGCAGCATAGATATCCTGTGCAGCACTGTGAAGTTATCTCCACAGAAGTGAAACTGTTTTGGTGGACAGAGCATGCTCCATCTCTAAGGATACCTAGGCACAAACATAGCCACTGAAGAGGGGAAGGCAGTTGGAAATTAAGACCCCTTCCACAGCGTGGACCTGGCAAGTTAGCTGTGTTTTTTTTAATGCCACAACCTGTTTAGGAATGCTATGATACACCTCCTGAGCAAGTGGGACTTGAATCTAGGTTTCTTGTCTCTGGCACTGCACCATAAGAACCCTTGCAAGTTAGCTGCTTTGATTCTCATATCCAGAAGTGGTCTTACACACATTTGGTTTTTGTTCCCATCACCAAATCACCCAGAGTGTTTTTTAATCTATTAACCACCACCAGTAAATCACTCGTGTTTCCTCATTGATGAATTTATATGCAAAGTCCGCACATCTGACTTGCCCACACCCTCCCACACTGGATGCCCAAAGTTCAGGAGCGTGAGGCTGAAGTGCAACCAAATGCTCAACAAAAGTGTTTTCAAATAACTAAAACTAGGTTGCAACCACCCAGAACCAATATATACATGGTACCAGGTTAGCTGCTTCAATTAGGATCATTAGCCACCATTTCCGCCACCTCCAATGGGATGCCAGCACCAGACACATATTCCCTCCCCTCTCCTGTCAGCCTTCCACAATGACCATTCACTCTGGGACACCCTGGTCCACTCCTCTTTCATTCTCAACACCCCTACTGCCTCACAGCAACTTCCCCTGCAACCATGGAAGGTGTAACACCTGCCCATTTACTTACTCCCTCCTCATTATCTCAGGGCCCAAACACACCTTCCAGGTGTCACCTGCACTTCTCAGAATCTAGTCTACTGCATTCGCTGCTCACAATGTGGTCTCCTCTACACTGAGGAAACAAAGTGTAGTCTGGGTGACCATTTCACAGAACACCTACGTTCTGCTCACAAAAAAGATCCTGAGCTTCCAGTTGCCTGCTACTTCAACACACTATCCTGTTCCCTGGCTGACATCTCTATCTCAGGCTTGCTGCAATGCTCCAGCACAACTCAGCACAAGCTGGAAGAACAGCACGTCATTTTCTGCTTGGGAATTCTACAGCCTTCTGGACTGAATATCGAGTTCAACAATTTTAGGGCTTGAGGCACCTTCTCACATGTCCTTACCCAACCCCCACACACCAGGCCTTGTTATCACATGGTCTGCTATTACACACATTACTAATTGTCCCCATTAGTAGCTTTTCACCTTCCCAACTAAATCATTATCCATTCCTTTGTCTATTCAACTGTTCTTCTCTCTCTTTGGGCTCTATCTCCATCTATTGTTTACTCCTTACCCCTTCCCCCCACACTATCTTCTGCATAATAAAAAAATTTTCCAATGTACCATCAGTTCTGAGGAAGGGTTACCAGACCTGAACGCTTAACTCTGGTTTTTCTTCACAGATGCTGCCAGACCTGCTCAACTTTTCCAGCAATGTCTGTTTTTGTTCCTGATTTACAGCATCCACAGTTCTTTCGGTTTTTATAACTTGAATGAAAGCAACATATGCATGTAACTTGTAATAACATTGTCCATGTTAAACACCATCCATTACTTACTTAAAGTAATTAGCAACTGTCAAAGGTTTATGCAAATGCCAGCATTTCAAATCCCATGGTGGAATTTGTAAGTGCTTTTTTCTTGTTTTGGGGAGACTGAAATTGCTGCAAGATAGAAATTGTCAGACTGGTTCTTTTATACGACTTAAATTTGTAAAGTAAAGCATCTGATTTTTGGAAAAGTAAGTGTGCAGTGCTGGATGGATAGAAACAACTTTAATTGGTCTCTTAAAGTCTCTTGCCACACCAGCTCCAGAGAGTATTGTTGAGGATTTCTTTCTGAAAAGAAATTGGTGGTGTAATTATGAACAGGAATTGTTATCATCATTGATTCCAAAATATAGGAAATTGCATGCTTAGCAGTTTCCTAATTGTTCCTTTTTGAAAACAACTGAATGTTGATAAAGCACAAAATCAAATTATGTTGATATATGTCAATCCAGTATTAAAATCACTAATGGTATATATGTAATTAATACTTCTGGGAATTGGAAGTTCTTTTGCTGTCCATTGTTTAGCCAGTAAACTGAGAGAAATCCTACATAATCCAACACACAGTAAGTTTCAGAAACTTTCTTATTACTTGGACTTCAGTATATAGCTTTTTTGAAGTTCAGATTTTATGGGACCAGTATAAGCTAAATTGGAACATCTCAGGACAGT